CACTTGAGATCCTCCCAAGCTGTGTGTCTGTGTGCCAGCCGTCTCTTCCTTTCGTGGTTGTGTAGTATTATTCTATTGTACAGATGTACCAAGTTTGGCACCAGGATTTTCACCAGGTGAAGGACATTGGGCTTATTCCCAGTTTGGAGTGACAATGACTCAAATTGCCACAAACATTTATGTTTATTTTTGTGTGAGCATAATTTTCATTTAACCTGGGTAAACACCTAGAACTAGAACTGATGGGTCACACGGGCATATTAATTTATAAGAAACTACTAAACTGTTTTCCCAAAGGGGCTATACCATCACGCATCTGCCCCAGCAATGCATGGGGATCCAGCCGCTCTGCTCCTGCCCCACACTTGGTTTTCTCCCTCCCTCCCTCCCTTTCTCCCTTCCTTCTTTCTGTCTTTTTTCTTCTTAGCCATTCTAATGGGTGTGTATGGCCTTGCAGTTAAGATTGCGTGGTGCACTAATTTGCCAGGGCTGCCGTAAGGAAATACCACAGACTGAGTTGCCTATACAAGAGTTATTTTCTCATAGAGGCTAGAAGTCTGAAATCAAGGTGGTAAGAGAACTGGTTTCTTTTGGGGTCCCTCTTCTCGGCTTGTAAATGGCTGCCTCTTGCCGTGTGTTCACAGGAGTGTTCCGTCTGTGTACGTTTCTGGGGTCTCTCCAGATATCTGGATTTCCTGATCTCATTAGGGGACCAGTCATATTGACTTAGGGCCCACCCTAAATATCTCAGTCTAATGTAATCAATCACATCTTTTAAGACCTTATCTCCAAATTCAACCCATTCTGAAGGACTTTAACACGTGAATTTGGTAGGGAGGTAATTCAGCCCAGAATAAATGGTGTAGATACATCTCGGCCCAAGTACCCAGAATGGGGACATAAGGCAGCCAGCAGTCTATATGGCTGGGAAAGTAGAGAAAATCCCCCGAGTCCATATGGCTCAGGGTGGGATCCATGTCCTTGGGACAAAATGTTGGAAGCACGTTTCCATGGGAAGTGTGGGGAAAGCACAGGCTGCCGAAGCGCATCCCAGCTCTGGGCCCGGGCCCTGCTGCTTCCTGGCCACAGGGGAAGCCCAGCTGCTTAGAATCCCTGAGACCTTTTGTCTAAGCCCCACTGTCATCCTCTGTAACAGAAGGGAGATTATAGCGTCTCCCTGCCTAGTGGTGAGGAGTTATGGGGAATGATTCACGTGCAGCAGTTCTAGCAGAGATGCATGCGAGTACTTCTTTTATTATTATTTTTCAAATTCACTTTTGCTTCTCTTCAGCTGAGCTGGAGGGAAACTTTGGCATTTTCCCTACCTCCTGGGGTTTGTGTTAAGGTCCAAGTACTTAGTAAATGTCAGCAGCTGGATTTAAAGATTTGGTAAAATTGGCTACTAGAGGCTCAAATGTGCTCACAGATTTGTACATGATTAGAAAACTGTCCAGTGCTGTAGAAACTTGGCCTTTGGGATTATTTGGCCGAAGTTCTCAGATGTCTCGACCTCCCTGCCTCTTCCCATGGGCTACCCAAGGTCACCGGCATTCCTCAAGGAAATATGTAGATGGTCAGGGAAGATGTGCGAGACCCCTTCTTGTCCTGAAGGCGTCGGCATGGACCAGGGGAGGTAAGACAGGCAGAGCAATAGGCAGTGACAAGGTGGAATGGGGTCTTCCCCAAGGAAGCCACGCCAGGCAGTGAGCAATCTTAGAGCAGGGTGATTTCAAGGGGTGCCTTGAAAGAAGCAGTGTTACTCGCACATCTCTCAGCTGGGGGGGCATTACTCAAGGCAGCGATGGCAGGTAACGTGGCCAGTGCCAGGGAGGCGGGGAAGGGTGGGCCCCTGACAGGGAGCCTGTGACTGGCATGTGGCAAGAAAAGGAGTGGTGGAGAGGAAGACCAGGAAGCCGTGAACGGCTGTGAACGCCAGGTCGAGGCAACGAGGCACACTTCCTCAGGTAACAGGGAGCCAAAACAATTATTGGGTAGGAAGTTTCCTCACCTAAGTTGAGCTTCTGGAAGCTGACTCCGGCCTCTAGGAGGATGGACGACTCAGGGACCGGCCACTGCAGAGAGGAGGGCCTTCCTCTGTCTGCAGGTGGGTGCCGCCACCCCCCAGGGCTGCAGGACTCAGCAGCCAGCTCCAGAATTCCCCAGCAAAGGAAGACTTCACGACTAAGGAGTCTGTGTTTCCTCGGATGAGACAGAGCTCCTGTCAGTCCTCTGAGCAAGTCAGAGCGTGTTTTACTTTTCAAAGCCTCAGGAGCAAGAAATGTGGATAAAGCCAGAAGCTCAGCCCTGACCACACTCTCGGACTGTGTTTGCCTCTCCGACTGCACGCCCTTGCTGTGCGCACCCGGAGGCTCCCAGGGCTGCACTCTGAGCCTGTGCAGCAGCTCCGGGTGAGGCAGCAAAATAAACACTCACAGCAATTCTGCAGAGAGGAGCTATGTGGGGCATTTGGGCTTCAGATTTTATTTGAAGAAATGTGGAGAAGCTATCATGCTTTCCCCAACTTTCTTGCAACCTCAGCATTCATGGCTGCCAGGACCAGAATGGGGACGAGCCACCTCTCCAGAGCCACCTGTCACTTGCTCCTGTAAGGACCCTCAGCTCCAAGAAAACCAGATGTTGTCACCACCATGAGCCTGGCTTTCTCCTTTCTCCACATTTCTGCTCATCTCTCCCCCAAACACTGGTGGTCTCCTTGACCAAGGCTGGGCTTGAGCTGAGTTAGGTGGAGTAACAGCACACCTGGACCTCACAATCCAGGGGAGGAAGCAGGGCCTTACACAGACCAAGACGGCCCAGTGTGCTGAGGACCAACATGGAGGAGCACAGGCATTGAGAGAGCAGTCCCCAACCCAGACTGGTAGGGGAGGCAACCAAGGGAGACTTCCGGAAGGAGGAGAGTTCCGAGCAGAATGGAAGGTTGGCGGAGCAGAGGGCATTGAAGGCACTGAAGGCAGAGGGGATGGATGGGGAGGATGGCCTCCTCTACCTCGAAGAGGCCATTCTTCCATGAGTCTTTTTACCGCACGCCCATCCCTTGCCCAGCCCAAACCTCTCTTAGTATCTCCTGCATGTGTTCATCTGGCACACAGAAAGTGCTAAATAAATGTTAACTCTTACTATTCTTGGTGGTATTCCAGAGTTCCTAGAGCCGCTGTGCCCAGGTGCTGGCTGGCATTCTAGAGGCCCCAGGGCACAGTGAGGAACGCTCCTGTTGGAGGGCCAGGTCCTGGGGTGAGTCCTGCTCTGGCAATGTCACCCCAGGCCAGTGTCCAAGAGGACCAGGTCTGCTGTGTTGTGGCTGTGCAGCCCCGAAGCTCTGGGGGCTTCCCCACAGTAGTGCCCTCTCTCAAGACTGCCCTGCCCCGTCATCGCCCGGCAGACACTGGGCCTTGTGGGTCTGACCTGTGGGCCCCAGGGGCTGACTTCCTCCCTGGCCGGGAGCCTCCCGCCTCCCCGACAGGCCCCCCTCCAGCGTGGCAGCAGCCAGCTGCCTTGGCCTCTCAGCTCTCAGGCGGGGTGCACCCGGCCCCGCTGCTGGCTGGCGCTGCTCTGTGGGGTGTTTGCAGTCGCCTCCCACTTTGCCGTGGAGCATCTCTGTGAAACCTACACGCAGCTGAGGAGTCCTCTAGCCGAGGCTGTGGCAGGTGATTTCTGGAATCAGGCAGGCCTGGATTGCCCTCCCAAGTCACAAGGTCTTAGGCAAGTCACTCAGCCTCTCAGAGCCTGTTTCCCAACTGTAAATTGGGAAAATAATGCTGCCTGTCCCACGTGGCTGGTTACTGTGAGAATTACATGGCGTTTGCCCTCAGCCCAGTGTCTGGCCTATGTCAGGGAGTGATGAACGTTTTCTTAAAAAGGACCATGTGGTTGGAACAAAGTCACCATCCAAGTGCCAGGAGCTAAGAGTGTGAAGACAGGCATCTCCTGATCTGACCACCTGGCTGTGCATACAGCTTGGCTTGGGGACCTGGGATGGTGGGGGAAGTGAAGCCGACCAGAGGTGACGTGAGTTGGGATGGAAGAGGGGATTGGTCTGTGAGCAGGAAGGGCCTGGCTGGGGTCTCCCTTGGGTGGGGGATTCCTGAAGCTTAGCCCTGCAACAGGACAGAGAAGGGGAGGGGCGCGCAGGGCAAGGCCACAAGACATCTTCCCTGAACAAGGCTGGGTTGGTGGAAAGCTTAGGAACTACTGGCCAGAAGCCAGATTCATGTTGGATACACTGTGGGCTTGAGCAGCAGGTCAGGTTTTAAGGACCTGTCGTGTTCTTGCATGTGGTGTTGCTGGGGAGGGCAAAGGTCATCCAGGCAGGGAGACTGGGGCACAAGTACTCTAATACTGGGACAAGAGGGGAGCCCGACAGTGCTCTCCGAGCTCTAGGGGTTGGGGAAGCTCCTCCCACCCCGACCCCAACCCACCCCAGCCCAGGAACGGAGGCTGAGATGGTGGGGGGCACCGTGGCCTGTCAGGCTGTCATGGTGGCAGTCAGGCCGTGCAGCCCCCGGAACAGTCAAAACCGCCGACCCCCAGGAGGGGGCCGCCCGTCCCTCCTTCCTGGGAAGAACACGGGCAGCCTCAGCGTGAGGCAGGAAAGGAAGCCTCAGTCCTCAGGGCCACACAGGGTCTCAGGGCTAAAACCCTTGGGGTCCCACTCACCCATCCCTCTCTGGACCCAGGATCGTGGGGGAATGACAGCTGGCCAGGGCTTCAGGGGTCTCACAGCCTGAGCCTTGCTAATTTGCTTCCACCACAGACACAGTTTGGAGGGATCTGAAGTGTTTTGGTGACAGAGGAGGCAGAGATGAGGTTCTAGTAGTCGGGAAGCCTCGATATGAGGCATGTGCCTTTACATGTTTTGGGCCACCGATGCAATGCCACCTCCTCAGAAAGCCTTCCTGACGGTCCAGTTTTCTCTATCAGGAAGCACGTCAGTTTCTTCAGAGGCTGTGATTTCCATTTGTATTCGCTTGGTCTTTCCCTAGGACAGAAGCTTCCTGAAGGCAGCAGCTGCTGATCTTACTTATTCTCTGCTGTATCCCCAGATCAACCACTAGGGGGCGCAGAGGACAACTGGCTTCAAACAAAGGTGGGGCCTGAAACGCGTTTGACGCTGGGGGAGGCAGGGCAGGGGCCCCGACGGAGTCAGGTTCTGTGAAGCTGAACCTGACAGCAGAGTGCGTCAGGGTTTGGAGGCAGGGAGACAGGCTCTTCGGTTAGCTGCGCCTCTGATCTAGGATATTCTTGGAGAGTGGGCTCCGCCAATCAGTGGGACAGGACAGGGGAATCTTCTGGACCATAGATGCCCGCATGGAAGCAGGTGTTTATTTTGGGGGGAGGGCAGAAGGGTCGATTTATGGTGAATGAGGGGGCTGCTGGGGTCACAGCACAGGTTCACTGGCTAGTTGGGCCTCTACCCAGGAGGGTGGGCCGCTGTCAGGAAGAGGGGCAGCATGTGCTTTATTAAGCGACTGCAATTTTAAAACGAATCAGAGACACAGATTTTCACCACCAAGTTTCAGCCCTCAGCTCTGGGGTTGCAACGGGCTTCCAAATCCATGGGCCTCCTCCAAGCCCTTCTAAAGGTAATAGGAGGGGGATGGCTTGACATGCCCTTCTTGCCTTTGTGGGCCCAGCTGAGTCCTCTTTCCGGGGTTCTGCTTTTCCTGCCAGCAGAGCACATGTCTTCCCCACTTCCTGAAGCCGCAGCAAGTCCCTGCAAGACCAGCTGAAAGCTGAGAGCTGCTCATTGTAAGTTTCTCCAGCGTCTTCCTGAAGCTCGATGGGGGATGCCCCTGCCTCCTGAGACTGTTTGGTGCTGCGGTCGATGTCAGAGTGGGGCACAGCCCTGCCCACCGAGGTCCCAGAGCGATGACGTCTAGGGAAAGAAGTAGAAGGGGAGCAAGGATGGAGGCGGAACAGCTGGGGTATTGCCCCCCCACCCCGAGTCCACTGAAAGCAGAGCCCACAGTCCTCAGGCTGACTCTTTCTGGATTTTTGCTGCGACTCCCCTGTGACCAGCAGCACCTCCTCCGAGCTGCATAGCGTGGAACCCCGCACACAGCATCCCTGCCCAGTCCGTGGGCATCTCCCATCTGCAGGACTTCACAGCCATTTCTGTAGCCCAGAATGACTGAAACCTCAGCTTGTTCCAAGGGTAATGGCCAAGAAGCAAGCCAGCTCTTAGACAAGTTCCCCTTGCCCTTCACTGGCCACTGGCACTTCCAGCTCTGCTTGAACGTCTCAGGCTTGTCTGCTGACCATCAGCTCTAGATCACAGGCCTCCCGACATCCCACCCTTCCTGTCCCCTCTCCCATCCCACTGAAGATGCAACCCTTCTGTGTTTGGCAGAGACCCATCAGCCAGAGTAACATGCAGACAAAAAAATCATCTCTGTGAGTGGCTTCAGGACTTGTGGCTGCCAGAGCTGCCTGGTCTGACCAAGACCATGGACTTGGGCTTGAGTGGGGCAGGCTGTTGGCCAGGCTCATCTTCCAGAATGATGGATAGGCAGCAAGGAACATTCATTGAGTACTTGCTCTGCAACTGTCCTCATGGCAGGCTTTTAACAAGTCTCTTTCACTGATTCCTCACCATGATCCTGAAGGGTGAACTTGTCACCCCCATTTTACAGATGGGCAAACAGAGATGCAGGACTTTCCAACTCCACCCTTGTTACCAAGGAGAGCCAGGGTTTGAACTCCAGTTTGATCCTGGGGCCTCCTCTTTCCAAGCATTTGCAGGGGTGCCACCTCATGGGAAGCTCACCATCAGTGGTAGCAGCTATTAATGTCATCAGGGTACGTGATCCATTAAGGGGACCCAGTCTTTGAAACCAGAATGACCTGGAGAATTTCACTGTCAGGTCACCCTGCAGGGCTTGGTGCAGGTCCCAACTTGACCCTCCCATGTCACTCTTGGAAGAATTGGCACCTGGGTCGAGCTGCCACCTGCAGGGTGGGGCAGATATCCACCTGCAGTCTTGGGTGGTGTCCCCTGGCTTCTGCCAGTCCAGGACGCTGCTGTCTGGCATCCTCTTCACCTTGACTCATCCCACTCATTCATGCCAAAAATCACTCCACACTGCTGCTCCATCCCCTCCAGCCTCCTTGCTAAGCACACAGGCTTTTTGATTCTGGTTTCTCTGCAAGCCAAATCTAGATCTTTGGCACCAGTCACTGCTGCCAAGGGCTTCTCAGAGACCGAGAGCACCAGCTGCAGGTATTCGTGCCTCAGGAACATGTTTGCAGTGCCACTGCTGAGCCTTCCGAGGACCTGATTCTCTAACACTGCATCAGAGCCCAGGAATTTGCATCCTAAAGAGCTCCCCTGGTAACTGATGCTGGCGGTCTGGGCATTGCATTTTGAGAAGCTCTGAATCACACCAATGCAAGCTTTCCAAATGCTCTAACACTGGAGAGCAGAAAATGCGTGGAGAAAGGAGGTGGACCCAACCACTTTGAGATGTAGTGGAGAGGGCAGGGGGTAGGATGTGTTTGGAACTAACATGTGCAGAGCTCCAGCTAGGAGCTGGCTGTTGGAGATGTTTTATCACTTTTGGACCCCACAACAAACCTGCAAGATAAACCTGATTAGCCCTTTTCACAAGGGAGGGAAACTGAGGCTCAGGGAGCTTAAGAAAAATACCCAAGGTTTCATAAGCTATCAATAAAGACCCCAAGTATGAAGCCATGTCTGGCTGATCCCAGAAGATTTCTTTACAAATGCCGAGCAGGTACCAGGTGCCAGATATCTTTGTGCAGGACTAGGTTTTAATAGCATATCTGGTACGTGAGTGAGGAATGAATGAATGAATGCAGAAATGAGAGAACAAAACTGCTTCAAGATTGTGGAAACCAGCCCAAGAGGTTTCCCCTATGACCTCATGCCCAAATCTCCTCTCCCATAGTTTTTTTAATCTGAAAGGTGACCTGGCTAAGTTTGCCCAGTTGATAAGGCCTTGCTACTCCCCTGCACCTTTTATCTGCAGCCCAAATCCAAACAGGAAGCCGGGACTGAGATAAGGCCAGGAAGGCAATGCCTGGAATCATTACCAGCCTGGAATCAGCCATTTAATATGATATCTCAGATATCCACTGAGCACCTCCAAAGTGCCAAGCTGTGTGCTAGGCCTTGAGGTTGGAGCAGGAAACCAGACTCCTTGCCCTTGTAATCTAGTGTCGTTGCAGATAGGATGTTTGATATGGATAGGGACACACATGAAGTCGGGTGGGTACAGCAAACCTCCCTGGAGACTCGGCCTTTACGGGACATTAGAGGTGAGAAGCAGCAAGCCAGGAGTTAGCTGGGGGAAGGATGCACTCCCTCTTGCTGCAGCCACCCTCAGGCAGAAAGGTGCTTGCTGACTTCGATCTTCCTGGTCAAAATGGCTCTCCGCACACCATTGCCTGGCCTGTCACTTGTGCAAAGCTCCTTCTCTGCACCTGTTTCTCCCCAGCTGTACTTGGACTTTGTCTCCGTGGGCACCGCTCCTGCCCTGCCTTCTCATTCAGGCCTGCCTCCTCTCCCCTCCTTAGCCAGGGTGTGCTGAGGCCTCCTTGTACTGGCCTGCCAGCTGGTTTTACATTTTCAAGGATTTTGTGGACTGGCTAAAGAAAGTAGTATTAAAAATTAAGTTATATGTAGAATTTTATATATTTTATCACATATTGCAGTCAAACGTAGCAAATACCAAAAACGCATCACTTCCTAGCTATTTTACATTCCACCAACACTTGGTGTCTTGAGGATATTTACATCTATCATATCTGTATGGTGGAAATATGGCCCAGTGGGGCCTCTTCCAACTCTGTGTTCAGTGACATCACCTTGCAGCCTGAAGTAGCCATGGTAGGGCTATTTACACCACAGGAAAAGGTGTGAGTTAGTGTTTTGTTTATTGTCTTGATTTAGAAAGTGATTGAGAAAATGTTCATACTACAGTTAAATGTAGAAGTTTGTTATAGACAGCAGTTTCACTGTGAATTATACCAAAAATTGAGCAAGTCTTACAGCATTAGAAAACTGTTATCTGATTTAGCAAAGAAGTCAGTCACATCATTGGCAAAGTTCCAACATACGTCTTCATTGTTTCACTCTTGTCTAATGAAAATACCAACATACGTTAAGTTACACATTTGTTAGAAGATAGTCATTTGTCAATGACATGAGCAACTTCTGGTCCGAACTGTATTCAAGCATTTATTCATAGTCTGATTTGGTGACACTACTGAGTTGCAAATTAAAAAACATAGTGGATTTTGTAAGACATAGGAAGTCACACTGAAATTTTAGGTGTATGGAATTTACAATTAAGATTATTGAATATTATTTGTGAATCGTGTGCTGCAGTCCTTTATACCAGTTCAATTTGTATTAAGCTACTTTTTCTGGAGAGCTGTGCCGTCTTCAGCCTTGTTTTTCCTCCTATAGTCTGCAGTGTTTGGAGAAAGTGTATCTTACTCAAGGTTCAATCCCTTTCTAATCTTTTCCTTTGTGAATTCACAAATCAAGTGTTCATTTTAAAATAAGTTTTTTCTCCCTTTGACTCATAACATTTGAAAAGAAAAGAAAAGGAGGGGCGAGTATGAATAAAACCTTCTGGGGAAGCTCTATCCCATGAGACTGTGGGGAGGAAACCTGAGGTTCCCTGTTCACAGGCCTGTGCCCCTGAGGCCGAGAGAGGCTGGCCTGTGACCCAGCCCCCTACCTGGGCCTCTATCACACGGTCTCATTACCGACTGTCATCTGGAAAAGTGAGGTGGCTGTTCTTCTGCAGCATTTGCTTCCAGGCCCAGCTCACTGTTTTAGGAGTTTCTAGAGCTTTCTAGAAAAGACCGAGAGACTTCAGTACACCCAGGCTCAATGACATCATCGCAGAGCTGACCCTGAGGGAGGCTGCAGGCTATCCACCATTTCTGTTATTCTGGACATCACAGGCTTTCCCACTGTGATGTTAGAGTATATTATTAGGTCTCTATAGAACACGTAAGTACCCTAGGTCTTAACGGTGTCATGAGCCTTAATTTAGTGACTCTGAGAGGCAGGGGACAGGTCGGAGTTACAACAGCTGCTATGCACTTGACCCTGG